TGTTTAAGGGCAGCTCTTGGGAACTTGGAAGAGTGTATTTCTATAGATGCAATTCAGGGCTAATTTTCCTATACTGAATCTTGCCCTATGTCAAGTTATACCAGAGAGAGGCTCCAGGCCACTCCATTTCCATCTTGATGGTACATTGGAACCCCATGAGGAGCCTTAAAAACCAGGGATGCACGAGCTTCACACCTGGAGAGTCTAGTTTGATCAGACTGGGATATGGCCTGGGCACCAATATGTTGAAAATCTCATTGGGTGGCTCTGATATGCTTCCAAGGTTGAGAACCACTGGCCTAAGCCAGAGTCTCAAACTTGACTGTGTTGACACAAGCCCACAATGATGCAAGGAGTAACAAAACAGGTCCCTCCTCCAAAAAGTTGTCTAAGCACATCACAAATCCCTAGTCACAAGCTTGCAGAAAATAGGAAGACGTCCCTGAAGGAAGATAGAAATGACCAATGGTCCAGAATATGTGAAAATTCGAGCCTAATGAGAATTTTTTTTTTCTTTCAGATTTTACTCTTTGGGACACTAAGTGAATGAGTTAAAGAAGGCAGGTCATGAAACTCCCAAAAGACAACCATTCTTTTTAGGGACTGTTCCTCTTAAAAAGGTTGATATTAAATATGAGGGTCAGAAGCCCAAAGGACATGCATGGGTTCTGGCTGTCCCCTGTTCTCTGACTGGACAGGCTCTTTAGATAACACCCATGCACTCTCCCTTCTCAAGTTTCTGTCACTCAATTTGGTCACACCTGCAACAATAAACTCTTGAGAGTCCACGTCCCAAATCACTGTCTTTTCTCTTTTCTCCCACTCACTGTGATCTCTTGAGAGAGACATTGGTGAACAGACCACGCCATCATTATTCCCAACACAGTGGGGCTTAGCAGGCACGTGAGTAATATTTGAGTCCCAGCGCAACTGTAAGGAAGTTGCCTAGCCTCTCTGAGCTTCATTTGCCTCCTCTTTGCAACAGGGATGCTGGGGTCCGTGTTTATATGAGGATTCAGTTCTTCCCCCTCACCTTCTATGAGTTGAATCTTCCTTTCATTAAAGTTTCTGCTTAAATATACCCCCTCCTTGGGGTTTTCTTGACAACCCTGTGGTTCTCTGTCATTACTGTATTTTAATTCTCTGTGTGGTGCTGACCCTCTTGTTTGTTCACTTACGAACTTGTTGGTTGTCTCCTTTTTCTAGAAGAGAAGCTTTAAGGAAGCAGGGACTCTGGGTATCTGGTTAACTCCTGTATTTTTAGCACCTAGAATAATTCCTGGCACACAGTAGACTCTCAAGAGATGTTGACTGACTCATGTGCCAAAGACCTAGTTACAGTGCCAGGCAGCACTCAGTAGGTGCTTAATAAATGGTAGTCATGCTCATTACTTCTAATTAAATTTCTTTGAGATGAAAGAAGGTTTTGATTCAGAAAGTCTTCCTCTGTTCACTCAGGAGGTGGTAGAGACTTCACGTGGGAGATACTGCGACTGTGAGACTAGTTATTGATTACAGATCAAGGAGGCACCAGGGCAAAGTGTGTTTTACATTTTTTCTAGGATCAAATTTAATGCTACCAACTCTGTTTTCTCTAGTGCTGATAAAACATGACTTACAGTTTTTAAATGAATCCTATCACAGGCTCGTGGTAAGG